CGTTTAATATAAAGTTATTGAATGATACAATATTTAATAAAAATTATACTGATATATATATATATATATATATATACTTAATAAAATTTAAACCCTAAATCCTTATATATATATATATATATATATATATATATAAATTTTAATTTAAAATATTGAATTACCTATTGGAGTAATTGTCCTCTTTATATAAAAATTCACTTTCTACTATTCTCTATATATAGTCCATATGACCGTAGGATTTCTTTGCCTTCGCTTTAATATATATCAAAGATTCAATTTATTATTATACTCATATACTAAAATATACATTTACTGTTATTATGATAAATGTGTTTTTAATTATTTTTTATAACCACAGATTTATTACGAATATAAACCATTCTTCATAATACATATAAGCTTGGGTTTCTTTGCGCTGCTTCGATATCAAAGATCCAATTTATTATTATACTAATATCGTAATAATATGTATTTACTGTTATTATGTTATTATGATAAATGTGTTTGTAATTATTTTTTATAACTTACCAAAATTTCTAGCAGTTCTGAGAAGCAAATTACTCAAAATACACTAACAAGTAAAATTAATGTGTTTATAATTATTTTTTATGACGTCAGATTTATTGTCAATACATATAATTTTAAAATAATAATTTAATATATTTACTATTATAAAATTATTGAAAACACTATTTATTTTTTTGTAACATCATATTTATTATTGGGTATGTCCTACACAAGGACGACATTAAGGAGAATGAAAAAAATAGAAAAAATTCATAAACTTAATTTTTCAAAATTTAGAGTATTAATTTATTTATTTTATTAATTATAAAAATATTAATTTATTTAATATTTTACATTTTATTATCACGTTGAAACTTTATACCTTATATTTAATAATGTTATTAAAACTACAATAACTTAAATTATACCTTTTGAGAGAGTTACATTGATCAAATGGAATATACACTTGATGAACACAATTCTAATAATCCTATTGTATTAGTTCTTCAACATAGGCAACGTCAACGGAGGAGGGGGTGCATCAAAACCTAACCTAGTAGACAGTGTTATCGAAGGTGGGTCTGAGAATATTTAGGAAGATTTGTATAGAGATTGGATTACTATTATGAAACTAAAGAAATTGTATAGACCTAAAATATATTTCATTTAATACTTGAAACAATAATTAAAAAATAAAATTAACTTTATTATTATTATTATTATTTAATTATAAATTAAATTAATAATTAAAAAATGAAATAAAAATCTAAAAATTATAAAATATAATTAATAAAATTATAGGTCAATCTTTTTATTATAAAACTGTATCAAGTTATCCAACAAGTGAACTACATTTTTTAAAATTTAGTTAATGTAATTAATTGAAAAAATAATTTAATATTTACTATATCAGTTTTTTTATTAATGATGCCATTTAATTTGATAAATCAGCCTTTTTAGTGGGTAATTGGGTATGTCTACAAAATAATCTTTTTATTAAGTTTGGATATTTGTTTGTTTACAAATGATTTTATGGATTCTCTAGATTATGTTCATATTATTAAGAAATATAGACCAATTATCATAATTGTGTAAGGACATAAGGTTAATAATTACAAAATTAGGAGAATATATGGTAGAAGCAAAAGTCATATTAAGTAGTCAAATTGGTATAAAGATATATATTTCTAAATTATCATTAATCACCTCATACGCTAGCATTCCATTTAAATTTCAAAAAACAATTTCTATTAATTGTTTCGTTCATAATGACTATTAATAAAAGAATGTCAATTTTTAAAGTATATTGGAATATATCATACAAAATCAATTTTTTTTATGGTCAACTATATATAATAATTTTAAGAGTCACATTAAAGAGCGGATTAAAAATTTTAATTATTGATAAAAAAAATAAAGATTAAATATGTATTATAATGTTGTTTATAGAGAACTTTTCAATAATTTATAATAAATTAATGTATATTTATTTTTTAATATTATTTTTAACTTATTATTAATATTATTATGCTTTACATATATTGTTGTTGTCAATTTTTATTTATATAACTAATTAAATATTATTTTATTCAACTAAATAAAATAAATCGTGGATCTAGTTATTATTATGATTGTTATTTTTTATCATCCTGATTTTCCCACGCTTCCTCTCATTTATGCTTTGTTTGGATTTGAGGATGGAAAATGGGGAGTGGAAAAGGAAGGATTTGAAGGAAAAGTGAGTGGAAAGTGAGGTTGTTTGAATTAAGGGAAAGTGTAGAGAAAGTTTGTGAAAGTTTGTGAGCGAATTGATTGATGTGATAGATAAAAATAAATTTTTTAATTAATAATTGTGTAAGATTACTATTTTGCCATTAGGTTAAAAAAAGTTTATAATTATTATAATTAAAAGATAAATATATAAATTTTAATTAAAAAAATTATAAAATATTAATTTAAAAATAATTTAATTTAAATATTTACTTTAAATTTAATGATAGATAAAAATTAAAAATTTAATAGATGAATATATAATTTACACTTTTACCCTTGGATTAAAAATGAGTATAATATTATTTATTGTAAATAATAATAATTACAATAAAATTATATTAAT